CTTTAACAGTATATAATGCTAAACGTCATATTGCTGATTGCAGCGAGCGAGAAAGGCAACAGGATCTTTGTCGGATTCAGAGAGTACGAACATTAGAAGGTAACCAGTCCACACCATAGGTAACTACAGGGGATTTACCTAGTACAGAAGCTAGTCAGTTGGATAAGGAAGGTCCTAGATTACCATTTTGGATAGATACTCAAGGTGACGTGGTGTAATTACTTGAATAGCTTCAATTTTATCGTTTGAGTGGGAATTATTGTTTGGGTGAGGCAGACCAACACGCCGAACAGGCGGGTGGGGCTGCTGACCTAAGAGACGGATACTCGATTCCGTGTACAAACCATACAAATTATATACCTAGCTTGGTCTGTCTATTTAAAGAGAAAAGAAAAAAGAAGAAATTTCCGGGTACAAATGACCCTAAGAGAGAGTATCTTACAGTCAACTGCTCACAAATACCCAGCATTCTAATTCCGAATCGATTCCTGATGATCTGCGTCTACTATGAAATCCGGCAAACCCCCCCGTCGGTTGTACAGACCCATACTAATAATTTGCGGGGTAAGACCGTCGGCTACGGCACCTTCGAGCGTCCCGCGCACGTCGGATACTGCACCTCTCATACAATCCACTGTTAACCAGCTCATACTAGTAGAAACTGGGATTAACAATCAGGTCTGCTTCCGATATGCGGGGCGAAGGCTTCCGTTCGGATGCAACTTTCACAAAGCAGCGGCAACTAAGCTAACTGACATCTTTGAAGCTATCTATCATTGAACTCAGCAGGGAAGATCTGCTAGCAGTATTTGCAATTTCCAGCAACTTTTAGAGAATCAAACCATTACTTTTTTAATGACCACCTCCCGGGTTTATCGAGTTACTAACATAACAACGAAGGGAACAATCCAGAGCTCGTTTCCGATTAGACTTAGCCAGATATACAACCAAGCTCATGGCGCACCCAAACATCCCAGATCCCACTTTCCCCACACTCAGCAGCAGCCGTCGGTAGTGAGATCGAGGATGGGCAAAGTCCCATGCAGCCATACGTACTCCCTGTACCTGCGTTTCCCATCGGAAGTGCGGTACACATCCGCCATGACCCGTCCGTTCAAATGATATAAAGCTGTCGCCTTCGACCGGTTAAGCTCTCATTATCTACATTCCCTCATCTTCTTGTACAATACCGACATACAATCCCAAACCCCTCCCCCCCTCTCGCAGCATACTCCACCTCTAGCATACGTGATCCCCAAACCAAGTCCAACAACAACAACCAATAATGCTTGGTAAGATCGCCCTCGAGGAAGCCTTCGCGCTTCCCCGCTTCGAAGAAAAGACACGCTGGTGGGCAAGTCTATTTTCCACGGATGCCGAAACCCACGTCAAAGAAATCACCGACATCAACAAGATCCGCATCGAGCACGCAGACAAGCATGGCGTCGGCTACCAAATCCTCTCATACACAGCCCCCGGTGTACAGGACATCTGGGACCCCGTCGAAGCCCAAGCGCTCGCCGTCGAGATTAATGACTATATCGCCGAACAAGTGCGCGTGAACCCCGACCGATTCGGCGCTTTCGCGTAAGTCCTCCCATACCTCCCCATCCTC